TGGCAATTAACACACGATGGCAAGAATATTCACAAACTTATATGTAACAAGTAACATAACACTAAATATATAATGAAACTGAATGGATTTTTAGGACAGTGAAACTCTTCTGATACATAATGGTGGATACATAACATTATGCAATTGTCAAAACCCCTAGAACTGTCCAACACAGTGAACCTTAATATAAACAATGAACTTTAGTTAATAATATATCCATATTGGTTCATTAGTTTTAACAAATGAACTACAAGATGTTAATGACAAGGAAAAGTATATAGATGGGAGGGAGTCACAGAGAAACTCTCTCTGTTTTTTGCAATTTTTTGTAAATATAAAATTGTTCTGAAAAATAAGTCTATTTTCTTAAAGTCAGTCCAGGGATCCTCCTTTATATGAATCCAATCTGGCATTTTTCTAAGTAAAATTTCTCTGTTTCCAGCATTTAAGTCTCACTTCTCTGTGCAAGATTTTCTTTAGTTTTATATTTCCTAGGTCATTTCTGTCAGAATTAAGGGGTGGGGTAGTGAGAATTCAGACATATGTCCTCGAGCTGCCATCTGTTCTCCGAATGGTATCCCATATGTTGTTGATGTGTAGAGTTTTCATTGTTGACATTTATGAATTGACTATAATTGTACTTTGATTTCCTTCTTGACTCGAGTTAATTATGAGGGTGTTTAAATTTCCAAGTGGTATTTTTTTTTAAGCATGTTACTAATTTCTGCTTCATTGCTCATTGTTTTAAATATGTGATTTGCGTTAAGTCCTACTTTTTAGAGCTATTGAGAGGGTTTTTTTTTTCTTGGTAGTTTAGTATATTGCCAATTTTTGAAATGTCCAGATATTTTACAGTGATGTATATTATTCTTATGTTATGAAGTCTACTTTTTCTCTCTATATATTTTTGTTTATTCTTCTGTAAAACTTTGAACAATTTCATTATATATTTAGTGTTATGTTACTTGTTACATATAAGTTTGTGAATATTCTATTGCCATCATGTGTTGTATCTTTTATCAATATAAACAATCCTTTATCACATGAAATGCTGTTTGCTTTGAATTTAATTTGTCTAATAGCAGTGTTGTAATGAATGCCTTCTTTAATTTTTACTTGCTTGATATACCTTTGGCCATCCCTCTATTTCCACACTTAGATATCTAAGTGATGTGGTTTTAAATTTTTCTCTTTTAAACAGATATAACTGGATCTTAGGGAAGTTTTAAAACAAGTTATTTTCTTAATGAAAGAGCTTAAGTCATTCACATGTATTGTGACAGATAGTGTTTCGGTTTGGTGTTATTTCAGTTACCTCAGTTTAGTCTTTCTATATTAAAGGGTTTTTGTTTGTTTCTTTTTTGCTATTTACTTGTTTTTTCTTTTTATTTGATTATCAATTGTGGTAGGCTTGCAAAAAGTCCTCCCCACCCCTCACAAAATCCATATTCTAATCCCTGGAACCTGTGATGTTACCTTATATAAGAAAAGGGAACTTTGCAAATGTAATTAAGTTAAAGATCTTAAAACTGGGAGATTATTCTGGTTTATCCCAGTGAGTCGCAAATGCAATCACAAGAGGGAGGCAGAAGGGGGCGTGACACACAGACAGAAGAGGAAAAGGCAGAGCTTGGGCTGATATGGTCACAAGCCAAAGACTGTTGGCAGTCACCTGAAGCCAGAAGAGGCAAGGAACAGATTCTCCCCTAGAGTCTCTGGAGGAATCATGGCCTTGCCAAACTTTTATTTTTGCCCAGTATAACTGATTTTGGACTTCTGGTCTCCAGAGCTGTGCGAGAATAAATTTATGTTGTTTTAAGCCATCAAGTTTATAGTAATTTGTTATAGCCACCATAGGAAGATGATTAAAATTTCTTCATTTTTATTTCACTCTATCATAGCTTATCTTTAACTTTTAGCTTTAATATATCTCTATCAAGGTAAAAAACAAAAGAGATACCCAAAATACATAAAAAAATTGAACATGATGTCTTTTGTACTGTGTCCCTTCACTCAACTCCCTTAAGTTTTTCCTGAAATGTTTCATAATCATATTTATAACTATTTTGTAAGCATTTCATGTGTTTCTAACTTCATTGCTTACCATAGTTGTTATTATTCTATGCTCTTTCCTCTTCTTGAATTTTTATTTTTGATTCAATTCTCAATTAGCTGAAGTATGCCAGGAAGAGTATATAATGTTATATTTTCTTCCTTCTTATATATCTGAGAAAATTGTTCTGTGCCTTGGCACAGAAATTATATTTACAAAGTTTTTGGATCATAATTTTTTTCAAAACTCTGAACATGTTGTTTTACTATTTTCTGGCATTAAGTTTTGTGGGAAAGAGGCATGATAATTTAAGATGCATTTCCTTTAGGTAACCTTCAATTTTTTTTACCCTGCCTTAAATGCCTGAAGATGGTTGATCTCTGAAATTAAATACTCTTTTGATTGTATCTCAAAGTCGGCATCTTTTTATCAACATTGACTGCTCTTCTGGACACTCTTGTTTGTGGCTTTTCCTTTCGCTCCAGATTCTGAACTGTGCCTGTCACCTCCCTCAAGACAGCTGCAGAGCCCCAAGATCCTTATAACCTTCTTACCATGATGTTCCACCCCACAGGGTTCTGCCATTGTGTGCTTTCTTTTTCATCCTTCTCTGATGCCACCTCCTCTTCTGTTTGTAGCCAGCCTTAATAATTCTAAATTCATGGATCACAGGTAGAAACCCCAGTTTTGTCTAAGTAGACGATCGATTTTTTTTTCTTAAACCTAGTCATTCATTTTTCTCTCTATTTATCACTTTATCCCAATAAATAATTTTTCCTTATAGTTTTCATGGGAGCCTTCAATTTCTTTTTTTTAACCTTTTTTCTAACTTTTATTTTAAGTTCAGGGGTGCATGTGTAGGTTTGTTACACAGGTAAACTTGTGTCATGAGGGTTTGTTGTACAGATTATTTCATCATCCAGGTATTAAGCTTCATACTCATTAGTCATTCTTCCTGATCCTCTCCCTCCCCGCACCCTACACCCTCCTATAGGCCCCAGTGTGTGTTTTTCCTCTCTGTGTATCATGTGTTCTCATCATTTAGCTTCCACTTATAAGTGAGAATATGCAGTATTTTGTTTTCTGTTCCTGCTGAAGATAACGCCCTCCATCCATGTCCATCCATGTCCCTGCAAAGCACATTATCTCATTCTTTCTTATAAGCCTTGAATTTCTAATCACTCCCCAGAACCTCCTCCCTATGGTGCCTTTCACAACATTAGTGCTGAGATGCATTGTGGAAATAACAAACAATAAAGAACAACAATGTATTTGATTGTCATTTGTCTGATCCAGAGAAAGAACAAAAAGGCATGAATTCAGAACAAAGGTAATTGCCAAGAAGAAAGTGAAGTAAATGCTCTCCGTTAGACTTCAGTCTACAAGTTACTCTCCTACTCCCTCTGGATTTGATCTTAATGTTACAAAGCAGAGATACAGCCAAACTCTTGGTAGAAATGAGGCTCCAAGTTACCTGAAAAATGTCCACCTTGATCATCCCTTCAAATATATTGCATTTAATCACATTCTAAATATGCTCTTCACATAAGAGAAATTAACTTCTTAAATCCCAATTTCCTTTTCTAATTATGCAAAAAAGATTGTACACAGATAATTAAAAGGTGTGGATAAAGTTAATAAAAGAGACAGTGGGAAGGAAGAGGAGACCCAAAGCCTGAGCCTAATGAAGTGGATGAAAAAGGGGAGCTTTCTGATGGTGTCAGTGCTGTTGATGATAAATGATTCAATACCACACATAGGCTCCCTAAAACCGGAACCCTTCTATCATCTCTCAACTCCCACTGATAAAAGACAACTGAACTTTTGTTTCTAATTATTCTGGAATGTCAATTGTGGCAGAAAAAAATTAGTTTAGCTTTAAAAGTCAATTACAAACAAATGTACCATGCAAATGTCAAGGGCTGATCCTGAAATATGGAGTTTCCAAGAGGCCAAGGGAATAAGTAAGCAAGAAAGAACTGGAAGCATTCTCACTCATCATGGCCAGCAGTACAAATTCTAGCACCAGGGACCAAAATCTGCCTCCTGGTGTGGAGATGAAAAGAGAGAGTTCCCTGGTCCATCCATCACAGGACATGGGACAAGGGTATGGCTCTCTGTTCAGCTGCCTCAAGCTCAAACTCCTTATAGGAGGGGAAGCACACAGAAGGGTAGGTGCAGGAGCCAGGGCAAGCGCTTTGAACTCCAGCCCCACAGTAGTGTCTGGGGTGGGTGCCTATGACTCTTGAAGCCACAGTGTTATAGTGCTGTTTTAACTCTGCTGCCTGCAGATGGCTTAAGTGGTAACCAGCTCAGTACCCTCTTGGTCCTCAGGTCCTTGTCCATAGTCCAGGAAGAGTCAGGTCACACACAGATTTGAAGGATGAATGCAGGAGTTTTATTGAGTGGTGGAGGTGGTTCTCAGTGGGATGGATGGGGAGCTGGAAGGGGGATGGAGTGGGAAGATGATCTTCCCCTGGAGTTTGGCTATCCAGGGCCAATCTCCTCTCTGATTGTCCCCAGCTGAACTCCTCTTGGTGTTCAGACCGTCCTTCTCTTCTTTCCTTCTCTGCCATGCCATTCTGCCATTCGTCTGCTCATCTCCTTCTGGAGCCTGGGATTTGGGGTTTATATGGGTACAGGATAGGGGCATGTGGCTGGCCAAAAGCAACTTTTTTGGGCACAAAAACAGGAATACCTGTTCTCATTTAGGACCACTGGTTTCCAGGCTTGAAGGTGGGGTCTTTGCTGAGAAACTGCCCTCTTCCACCCAGTATTTCCCTTTCTCTTGTCCATATAAGAGAGTTATTTCCCTTCCTAACCCAACACTCACTCTTTCTTTGGTTCACCTCTCAGGTTTCTAAATAACACAAGGTGCTATTCTTTCCATTAGGTGCATTTCCTCACCTCTTTGAAGTCATGAGCTTCCTCTCATTTCTCTCTTTAGGTTGTGCTGCTCTATGCCTCTACCTACGTCCTGGTGTCCCTCAGCATAGACAGATACCATGCCATCGTCTACCCCATGAAGTTCCTTCAAGGAGGTAAGCTGGCTTGACCAGGTGATCTTTCATAAAGAATTGTCCTTGTGTGAGGGTAGGATTGTTTTCACTAATATTTTACTCTTAGTAATAGTGATCTTCCTCCTCTTTCCCTCTCTTTCTTCTCCTCTCTTCATTTTCTTCTTCCACCTCTTTCCTCATTTCATGGGTCTGATTGTCCAAAAAGATGTATAAAAGAAAACTTAGATGCCTGAAAAATGTTGATGGTTCCCATGGACAGCCCAGAGCCACTAAGGAAGGTGGGTTACTGACCCACTTTGTGACCATTTACCTTGATGCTGCTGCTTCTGTCTTTTTCCTCTAGAGCAGTGTTGACATGCATACCTGTCCAAAAAAACAAACTCTCCCACACTAACTTCTGATTTTCCAGAGACAAACACCTTGTCCTCCTTATCCAAAACCATAGAAATAATCAGAAAGACATTTTAAATTGATCATCGTATTGGTAAAAAAAAAACAACAACAAAAAAGGAAACTCTCCTTGATCCAGAAATGGTGAGGGATCCCTAAGAAAAGGAAGCAGATAGGTCAGGGGGAAGGCTGAGACCACACAGCCTACAAAACTCCCAGGAGATGCTGAAGTGGGATGGGAGGCCTTAAGAGCACTTCCTGAACAGGCTGCATAAATATGGAGTGCAGGAGAGGAACTGAGGCAACTGACAAGGTGATTTTTTAAGTACAACACAGAGGATTAATCACAGCAAGTTTCCCTGGATTTTAATTAATCACAGCAAGTTTCCCTGGCAGAGTGGGGCTCTGGGGAGCAGTAATGCCCTAGAGGAAGGGTGGGTACATATTCACAAGACTAGCTGCCTACTGCTCTGCCCACAATCAGGGACAACTCTCCTCCATACACCCTGAAAGCAAATACAAAGCGAGTGTTTAGCAACCTGTCCTCCCTTCCTCCAGATAACTTTGAAAACTGATAAAGAACCTAACAAAAAATCTTGACCACAAAAATGAGGTGCAATCAAATGTTATTTAAAAAATGACAAAATCCAAACTGTAGAAAACAGATAATACATTTAAAATCTCATTCCACACAATTTGCATCTAGGGAAGCAAATTTAATAGAGGTAGCAGAATTTTAGGATAAATATGATTAACGTCAACAAGGATCTACAAGAAGTGGGGTGAAATAGGGTAATTTCATTTACTATTGACAGGGGTATAAGTAAACACATCTTATTGAAATATAAAATGTGCAGCCCTTTGATATGACTTCCTGGTATGTGCTCTGGAGAAACACCCACATGTGTGCATGTATATATATATGTGATATATATCATGGCATTGCCTACAGTAGCAGGAATTCATTGCTAACCTTGGCGTGTCTCAGTGGAGGAATGGTTAACTAGTCTATGGAAGAAGTTTCAGTAGCTTATGTTTATTGATTGCATACTAGATGTCATTCATGATTCTGATTTATACATATTAAATATTTTAATATTCATAATATCTCTGTGAGGTGGGCTCTATTATTATCTGCATTTTACAGGTAAGGCAATTGTTGTTCCAAGAGTGAAAGTAATTTGCCCAAGGTCACAGCTAGTAAGTGCAGGAGCAGGATTTGAATCCATACAGTTTGGGTCTAGCTCCAGCACCCTCAAATGCTATATAGCCTGCCTCTCAATGTGGAAGTGGTAGAGCCATGGGCAGTAATACACATCAACATGAACATATCTACATTGTATGCTGAGTGACAAAAACAACATGCACAAAAATCCACGCAGAATGACATTAAAGTCAAAAACTCAAAACAGTGCTAGATACTGTGTACCAAAAGAGAGGAGCAGAAAGAGAGAACACACAAAAGAAAACTCTAGGAAAAATAAACAATTATTTGCAAAAACTCACACCAAACTTGACATCTGACCTCACTTCTAGTTATGGGAGTTAGACCAGTGGTGTGACCACCACAGGAACTTATATGCAAGGCAGTAATTTTTACATGAAGATAAATGTGTTGTGTGCAATTAAAATTAATTTATTTTGATCATGCTTGTTATGCCTACTGTACAGCATAAGACATATAAGTAACAATACTAAATTGTATACTTAAGAATTTGCTAGGGATCTGTTCCAAGATGGTCGAATAGGAACAGCTCCGGTCTGCAGTTCCCAGCATGATCGATGCAGAAGACAGGTGATTTCTGCATTTCCAACTGAGGTACCTGGTTCTTCTCACTGGGACTGGTTGGACAGTGGGTGCAGCCCACAGAGTGTTAGCCAAAGCAGGGCAGGCCATCACCTCACCCGGGAAGCACAAGTGGTGGGGGGATTTCCCTTTCCTAGCCAATGGAAGCCGGGACAGACTGCACCTGGAAAAACCGGACACTCATGCTAAATACTGCACTTTTCCCAAGGACTTAGCTACTGGCAGACAAGGAGATTCTCTCCCATGCCTGGCTCAGTAGGTCCCATGCCCATGGAGCCTTGCTCACTGCTAGCACAGCAGTCTGAGATCGAACTGTGAGGCAGCAGCCTGGCTGAGGGAGGGGCGTCCACCATTGCTGAGGTATGAGTAGGTAAACAAAGCAGCCAGGAAGCTCAAACTGGGCGGAGCCCACCGCAGTTCAGCAAGGCCTACTACCTCTATAGGCTCCACCTCTGTGGGCAGGACATAGCTGAACAAAAGGCAGCAGACAGCTTCTGCAGACTTAAACGTCTCCGTCTGACAGCTCTGAAGAGCACAGTGGTTCTTCCAGCACATTGTTTGAGCTCTGAGAATGGACAGAATGCCTCCTCAAGTGGGTCTCCGACACCTGTGTAGACTAACTGGGAAACACCTCCCAGCAGGGGCCAACAGACACCTCATATAGGCGGGTGCCCCTCTGGGACAAAGCTTCCAGAGGAAGGATCAGCCACCAATATTTGCTGTTCTGCAATATTTGCTGTCCACAGCCTCTGCTGGTGATACCCAGGCAAACAGGGTCTGGAGTGGACCTCCAGGAATCTCTGACAGACCTGCAGCTGGGGGACCTGACTGTTAGAAGAAAAACGAACAAACAGAAAGGAATAGCACCAACATCAACAAAAAGGACATCTACACCAAAACCCCATCTGTAGGTCACCAACATCAAAGATCAAAGGTAGATAAAACCACAACAATGGGAAGAAACCAGAACAGGAAAGCTGAAAATCCTGAAAACCAGAGGGCCTCTTCTCCTCCAAAGGATTGCAGCTCCTCACCAACAATAGAACAAAGCTGGACTGAGAATGACTTTGACGAGTTGACAGAAGTAGGCTTCAGAAGGTCGGTAATAACAAACTTCTCCAAGCTAAAGGAGCATGTTCAAACCCATCGCAAGGAAACTGAAAACCTTCAAAAAAGGTTAGACAAATGGCTAACTAGAATAAACAGTGTAGAGAAGACCTTCAATGACCTGATGGAGCTGAAAACCATGGCACAAGAACTTTGTGATGCATGCACAAGCTTCAATAGCTGATTCAATCAAGTGGAAGAAAGGTTGTCAGTGACTGAAGATCAAATTAATGAAATAAAGTGAGAAGACAAGGTTAGAGAGAAAAGAGAATAAAGAAACAAACAAAGCCTCCAAGAAATATGGGGCTATGTGAAAAGACTAAATCTATGTCTGATTGGTGTACCTGAAAGTGATCAGGAGAATGGAACCAAGTTGGAAAACACTCTTCAGGATACTATCCAGGAGAACTTCCCCAACCTAGCAAACAAGGCCAATTTTCAAATTCAGGAAATACAGAGAACACCACAAAGATAATCCTCCAGAATAGCAACCCCAAGACACATAATTGTCAGATTCACGAAGGTTAAAATGAAGGAAAAAATGGTAAGGGCAGCCAGAGAGAAAGGTCAGGTTACCCACAAAGGGAAGCCCGTCAGACTAACAGCAGATCTCTTGGCAGAAACCCTGCAAGCCAGAAGAGAGTGGGGGCCAACATTCAACATTCTTAAAGAAAAGAATTTTCAACCCAGAATTTCATATCCAGCCAAACTAAGCTTCATAAGTGAAGGAGAAATAAAATTCTTTACAGACAAACAAATGCTGAGAGATTTTGTCACCACCACGCCTGCCTTACAAGAGCTCCTGAAGGAAGCACTAAACATGGAAAGGAACAACCAGTACCAACCACTGCAAAAACATGCCAAATTGGAAAGACCATTGGTGCTAAGAAGAAACTGCATCAATTAATGGGCAAAATAACCAGCTAACATCATAATGACAGGATCAAATTCACACATAACGATATTAACCTTAAATGTAAATAGGCTAAATTAAAAGATACAGACTGGCAAATTGGATAAAGAGTCAAGACCCATCAGTGTGCTGTATTCAGGAGACCCATCTCATGTGCAGAGATACACATAGGCTCAAAATAAAGGGATGTAGGAAGATCTACCATGAAAATGGAAAGCAAAAGAAAAGCAGGGGTTGCAATACTAGTCTCTGATAAAACAGACTTTAAACCAACAAAGATCAAAAGAGACAAAGAAGGCCATTTCATAATGGTAAAAGGATCAATTCAACAAGAAGAGCTAACTAACCTAAATATATATGCACCCAATACAGGAGCACTCAGGTTCACAAAGCAAGTCCTTAGAGACCTACAAAAAGACTTAGACTCCAACACAAGAATAATGGGAGACTTTAACACCCCACTGTCAATATTAGAAAGATCGATGAGACAGAAGTTCACAAGGATATTCAGGACTTGAACTCAGCTCTGCACCAAGCAGACTTAATAGATATCTACAGAAATCTCCACCCCATATCAACAGAATATACATTCTTTTCAGCACCACATCACACTTATTCTAAAATTGACTGCATAATTGGAAGTAAAGCACTCCTAAGCAAATGTAAAAGAACAGCAATCACAACAACCTGTCTCTTAGACAACAGTGCGATAAATTAGAACTCAGGATTAAGAAACTCATTCAAAACCACACAACTACATGTAAACTGAATAACCCACTCCTGAACGACTACTGGGTAAATAAC